ATTTATTTATTTATTTATTTATTTATTTATTTATTTATATGCAATGCTGAGAATCAAACCCAGTGCCTCACACATGCTAGGCAAGTGCTCTACCACTGAGCTATAACCCTAGTCCCTGGAAAGTGTTTTTATTCTCAGTATTTATGTTCATGTGATTATAGGCCATGGATAACTGGGAAACTTATATTTCTCATTGCTTATGTAATTATCTTTTATTGTCAGCACCAGTACTCTTTTTTTAAAAATAATTATTAAAGAGAGAGAGAGAGAGAGAGAGAATGAGAGAATATCTTTTTTTTTTTAATATTTATTTTCGGCAGACACAACATCTTTGTTTGTATGTGGTGCTGAGGATTGAACCCCGGCCGCATGCATGCCAGGCGATCGCGTTACTGCTTGAGCCAAAGCCCCAGCCCAAGAATCTGAACTTTTAACTCCTAGCAAGCTGTTACTGATCTTTGGAAAATGACTACTACTGATAGGACTTCTTTTTTAAAATCTAACTTTCTGACTTGGGCCAAATTCCTGCCTTCTTTGTTTCATGTGTGCTTTAGTGAGGGTGAATATTTTGCCTGAGCTAGCAAATAACTTCAAAAGAAAACAGAACTGGTTTAAGAAATCACATTTTAATTCCAAAGTAAAGGATTCAGATGTATTTTTAAGTTAAAATATAGTCCATGTAGGGAAATACCAGCCTAAAGATAATAGCACAGAACGATACTGTTTCACTATGAAACCAGTAGTGACCTCAATCCTGGTCTTTTCCACTTTGGTAAAATGACTTCTTTATTGGGAAGTGGAAGCCCCTCTCTTGGCATGAGGACATCAGTCTTTTGCATTTGTCAACTAAGGCATCGTCTTATGTCTTTGCAGAAATGGAGGCCATTTTGCTTGAAGTTTGATGGAATCGTAGAAGACTTCAACTATGGTACTTTGCTGAGACTGGATTGTTCTCAGGGCTACACTGAGGAGAACACCATCTTTGGTGAGTTTCTTGCCTCCGGAATTGTTTTGTAAGGAGGATGAGGAGTCTGATTTTACTGAATCAGTGATATGTATAGTTAGATTGGAGGTCATCTCATTTGTTATGTTTTTCTTTCAAAATATTTTTAGTTGTAGATGGACATGATACATTTATTTTTTTTATTTTTTATTTTTTTGTGGTGCTGAGGATGGAATGATGAATCCAGGGCCTCATAAATGTGAGGAAAGTGCTCTACCACTGAGCCACAACCCCAGCCCTTGTTATATCTTTTTTTGGGGGGTGATCATACTGGGGCTTGAACTCAGCGGTGCTTTACCACTGAGCTACTTCCTCAGTGCTTTTCATTTTTAACTGAGACAGGGTCTTGCTAAATTGTGGGTGCTGCCCTTGACCTTGCCAAGGTTGACGTTATAATTATGGTCCTCCTTCCTTAGTGTCCTGAGTTACTGGGATTACATGCCTGAGCCACCATGCTTGAATTATTTGTTATATATTTAAAGATCACATTGCTGTTTTTAAAAGTAATTTTGAAATGGTTAACTATTTTCATTCTCATTGGTGTAAGATGAGAATTCAAGATCTCTGAAGTTCATGACTATATTTGAATGGCTTGTGTGTTAATTCAGTTGGATCTGTATATTTCCAGTAGATTTAGGAAATTACCTGAGACTAAGACAATAATCAATTCTATTGACCTTCTAGCCCCCAGGATCCAGTTTTTTGCAATTGAAATTGCTCGCAACCGGGAAGGCTATAACAAAGCTGTTTACATCAGTGTTCAGGACAAAGAAGGAGAGAAAGAAATCAATGGAGAAGAGAATAAAGAGAAAGGAATTGACATTGGAGGAGAAGAGAAAGTCAAGAAAGGAGCTGAGAGTGGAGGAGAAAAAGAGGAAGGAGTCAACAGAGGAGAAAAAGGGAAAACTGACAAAGGAGGAGAAAAAGAGAAAAAAGCTGAAGAAGCTGACAGAGAGATGAACAAAAGTGGTGAAGCATCTGTGTAAGGTAGACAGGGAACAGCACTCTAGAGGCTGCCACTCAGCTGAGCCTATAAGTATCACAGTGCTACTTGCATAGACCCCTTTGGTTAAATGAATGTTCTTGTGAAATTGAAGGATTCTCAGAAGGACATCTTTCTAGCCCAGTAGTCAAGAGCTGCTTTTGTTGTTGCCTTGTATAAATTGACTTAAAGACTATTGGTGAGGTTTTTGTGTATTGTTGATATATTGTTTCTTGGCTCTCACTCCTGGTCAAGTAAGAAATTTTGTAAATAAATTGCTTTTGGTTTTAAGATTGTATGTGACTTTTAAAAGTGTTTAAAAATAATTATGTACTTCAAATTTTTTTAGGTATTTAATCTCATAATCATGTATTATATAAAACAATTTATGCCCATTTCTTAATTATGCTCATTGTTTCCTGTAATAAAGTTCTCTCAACCTGTCAAGTTGTACTAGGTATTGAGATTAGAAATCCTTATATAACAATTAACACTTGCCCTTGGGTTGACTATAGCTCTCTAATTTCCTTTATTAAATCTGAAAAATATTGGTAAGTGCTTTATGGGGAGAACATCAGCAGCTAAATCCTTTTAGACTAGTGAACGGGCCCCTGTTTGTAGTAGAGGAGCAAAAGCCTTGATCTGCTTCTGTACTTGGTTCTTTTAACAGTCAGATTGTTACCTGAAAGTTAGCAAATAGTAATAGTGTAAAGTCTGAAGGAGTGGTTTCCCTTTTATAATGCTGTGAATAGTAGCACATACATTAACACAGACATATTTTTGAATTTTTTATTGGAGCATTATAATTATACATTGTAAAATTATTTTGAGAAAATCATGTATGCATGGAGTTGAATTTACTCCATTTCAGTCCCCATTACTCCCCTTTCCCTCCCCTTCTCCCCCATTCTCCTTCCTCTACTGATCTTCTTTTCTCTCGTTTATTTATTTATTTTAAATTGATGCTTCCCATATATAGGTGGAATTCCCAGTGATATATTTGTATAATGTGGTTTTGTTGAATTCATTGAATGATGCTTTGTCAGTTTCTAAAAATAGACACTGACTGTGGAGGAGAAAGGAGAGTGGGGGAAGGTGTTTTCTTTTTTATCTAATGACTTTTCAGAATGTGTGCTTCATTTAACATGCATATGAAGGTTCATGCTGTTGCCATAGACATACCCAACTTGACTGCTGAAATCAGGAAACTACACCGTTTATAGTACATATAGTTAATATATTTATAAGTTTTAACTACAAGGTGATCAGGCAAGAAAGGATTTGCCAGACAAGGAAGGACAAAAAAATAAATGTTTTTTCCCAGTGGATGTAGAAGAATAAGGAAGAGCTGAACTAGAGATGCACACAGCAGCAACAATTGTGTACAATAGTGAATTCTCTGGCAAATTTTAAAAAAATGTGTTAGAATTTTTATTTTATAAAAATATATGCTTTTTAAGGGGTTGGAGAGTGTTAAATACTTCATACTAGACTTATTTTTTATTAGATACTTTTTAGTTATACATGGACACAATATTTTTATTATTTTGTTTATTTATATTTATGTGGTGCTGAGGATCGAATCCAGTGCCTCGCATGTGTGAGGCAAGGGCTCTGCCACTGAGCCACGACCCCAGCCTTAGATAGACCTTATTAAGAACCTCCTTAATTACGTTAATTTTCTTTTATGTATCTGTGAATGCATGTCCATATTCATTAACTTAGGAAAAATAAAAGAGGAAGTATAAAAATTATTGCCACGTACAGTTGCATGTCTGGTTGGCCTTTTCTGGGTTGCTTCCCAGAAGGACGATTGGCTTAATCACTTCTCTCCAATCAGTTTTACAGAGAACAAGGAGCATGCAAGTGGAAGTCACACTGCTTTAAAGCAAAAGCATCTATCCAGGAGTAGGTGATGAAAACTGGGGAGAGGAAGAAGAATAAACATACAGAACACTTTGGATGCACTACAAGACACCAGGAATGCAAGGAAGCATCCCAGGTTAGAGGGGAAAGATGGGTGGAATGCTGCTCTGATGGTGTAAAATTCTTAGGCTGACTGAACATTCCCACCCCCTGCATGTTTATCCTGTATAATTCTAGCCTGTTTAATATGGGCAAGATTTAAGAGTATGAAGGAATTTCATTCCTGTGATTTAAATTGAAGTTTTTCTGGGTGGGTCTGGCCTAATCAGGGAGTCCTTAAAAGAGACAAGAAGCTGGAGCAGATATCTATTGGCCTAGTAGAAGCAAACAGCTATGCTGTGAGAGGAATGTGGCAAGGACCTGAGGGTTGTCCTCAATCAGGTGAGAATGTTCCTTGGCTGATAGCCAGCAAGAAATCTGGGAATTTACTCCTCATTTACAACGACTGAATTCTGCCAATTAGTGAGTTTGTAAAGGACTTTGAGGCTGAGATAGCATGGACACTGTTTTTGGCCCTGTGAGACCCTGAACAGAGAATTCAGGTAAGCTATAACTGACTCCTAACCCATGGGACTATGAGATAATAAATTGGGTGTTTTCATATGTCACTGATTATTTGGTATTTTTTTTTTTTTTTGCAGAGCATTAGAAATCTTCTATAGGCTTTGGTACTGGAAGTACAGTGTTGCAGTAACAAATACCTAAAATATGGGAGTTGGCTTTGGAATCAGGCAGTGGGGAGAGCTGGAAAAATTTTAAGTAACATGATGGAGAAAGCCCAAATTGCCTTGAACAGACTCAGAAATATGAACTTTAAGGATGCTGCTGGAGAGGGCTCAGAAGGAAGTGAGGAACATGTCACTGGAGACTGGAGGAAGGGGAATTCTTAGCAAGTGGTAGCATTGTTCTTAGAAGCCAGGAAGTTTGAGATTTAAGACCTTGCTCTGAATTATTTAGGAGATGTGAAGTCAGGCTTAACAGGTGTAAATATCTGTGATTTATTCAGAATGTGGGACCTTTTCATTTACTTATCTCTGTGTCATCTTTTGGAGGTAGGAAAAGGGCTCAGACTAATTTTTTAAAATTAGAACATTATAGTTATGTATAGTAGTTGGGCTCATTTGACAATATAATGCATGCATAGAATTTTATTTACCCTATTTCAGTCTCTGTTCTTCTCTTTTCCCTCCCATTCTCCCTCCCTCTATTTTTTTTTCTTGTGCTGATTTTTCTTTCACTCATTTATTTAGTTATTTTTCATTGGTGCTTTCTACATATACACAAAGGTAGAACTCCCTGTGATATATTTATATATACACATAACATGATCTTGTTCATTCCTCATTTACTTCCCTTTCCCATCCCCCCTCCCTTGCTCTCATCTCCTCCTTCTCCACTGATCTTCCCTAGATCTTTATGATATCCAATCCCCCTGCCCCCATTGCATTCTTTCCCTTTTTTTGGTCTGTCTTCCACATATGAGACAGAAACCCAACCTTTGACTTTCTGAGTCTGGCTTATTTCATTTAGCATGATTTTCTCCATTTTTATCCATTTATTGGCAGGTGCAATTGTTTCATCTTTATGGCTGAGTAAAATGCTATTGTATGTATGTATCACATTTTCATTCATCCATTGAAGGGCACCTAGATTGGCTCCACAGCTTGGTTATTGTGAATTGTGCTGCTATAAACACTGACGTGGCTGCATCCCTACTGTGCTGATTTTAGTTCTTTTGGATAAATACTGAGGAGTGGGATAGGGGAGTCATATGGTGGTTTCATTCTTAGTTTTTAAAGGAAGCTCTGTATTGCTTTCCAGAGTGGTTGTTCTAGTCTGCAGCCCCACCAACAATGTACAAGTGTACTTTCCCCCCCACAACCTCGTTAGCATTTATTATTGTTTGTATTCTTTTTTTAAAAAATTAATATATCTTTTTAGTTGTTGATGGACCTTTATTTTTATTCATTTATTTTTATGTGGTGCTGAGAATCGAACCCAGTACCACACACATGCCAGGTAAATGCTCTACTACTGAGCCACAACTCCACCTCTGTTTGTATTCTTTTTTAAAAAATATTTTCTATAGTTGTAGTTGGACACAATACCTTTATTTTATTTTTAAATATATTTTTTGTAGTTGTAGTTGGACACAATAACTTTATTTTATTTATTTATATGTGGTGCCAAGGATTGAACCCAGGGCCTTGCTGAGCCACAACCCCAGCCTTTATTTGTTTATTTTTGTGTGGTGCTGGAGATTGAACCCAGTATGTCATGCATGCTGGGCAAGCACTCTACAACTGAGCCACAACCCCGGCCCCCTGTTTGTATTCTTAATTGTTGCCATTCTAACTGGAATGAGATGAAATCGTAGTGTAGTGTTGGTATGCATTTCCCTAATTGCTAGAGATGTTTAATGTTTTTTCAGATATTTGTTGTCCATTTGTGTTTCTTCTTTTGAGAAATGTCTGTTTAGTTCTTTCTCCCATTTGTTGATTTGGGTTACTTGTTTTTTTGGTGTTAAATTTTTTGAGTTATTTAGATAGTCTGGATGTTAATCCCATGCCAAGAGCAGCTGGCAAAGATTTTCTTCTGTTCTGTAGGTTCCCTCTCACACTCTTAATCATTTCCTTTGCTTTGTAGAAGCATGTATATTTAATACCGTCCTATTTATTGATTCTTGGTTTTATTTCTTTAGCTTTAGGTATTTTGTTGAATAAATTGGTGCTGGCACCAATATGATGGAGTGTTGACCCTATGTTTTCTTCTAGCAGTTGCAAAGTTTCTGGTATTAATTCCTAGGTCTTTTATCCATTTTGAGTTGATTTTTTTTGTGTAGGTTGAAAGATTGGGATTTATTTTCTTTCTTGTATTTATATATAGTATGTGTGTATTATATATTTTGTGGTGCTGGGGATTGAACCCAGGGCCTTGTGCATGTGAGGCAATCACTCTACCAACTGAGCTATATCCTCAGCCGCTCCAACGTATGTTTTTGACACTTTTGTCAAGTATCAAATGGCAGTAAGTATGTGGATTTGTCTGTGTCTTCTATTCCATTGGTTTTCATGTCAATTTTGATGCCAATACCATGCTGTTCTTGTTACTTTAGCTCTGTAATATAACTTGAGATCAGTTATTGAGATGCCTTCAACATCATTATTGCTCAGGATTGCTTTGGCTTTTCTAGGTCTCTTGTTCTTCCAAATGAAATTTAAGACTTTTTTTTTTCTAGTAGACTAATTTTTTTTCTAGGAGACTAATTTTTGCATTTGCAGAAGGGAAAACTGCAGCCACTTTTTAGTTTTAAGCCACTGAATATGTGGTAACTTATTATAGTAGCAATAGGAAATTAATAAAGGAGGCATGCTGAGCCTTACCTCTAAAAGCAGACACATTCACTGTTCTCTTGTTGTTTATTTCAAAACTATAGTTTAAACACAGAGATATGTTGTATTGGAGGACTGGAGAAATGAACTGCACCTGAAGTGAGCTTGAATGATTTTAAACCATTT